AGATCACGATGGAGCGTCGCGATCCACGCTCGGCCAGACTGCGCTAGTCTGAGACGTGATTAGAGCAATTTATTTTTCGCTGTTTGTTATATAAGAGACACTCTCAAGTCGTCTGCCGGGAATTGCAAAGTATCCACTACAGACATACAAGCTGTTTAAGTGGTCCGAGTGAACCGCCGCAAATATTTACTCCGGCGAGCAGATGGCGAGGTCGATTTCAGGCAGAAGGAGGACGATGTGCACCGCGCAGCAATCCGTAATAGCTAATCGGATTCCGCCTTTCATCAATCTGGGACCATCATAGGTCACCATTTATTGGCTGCTGTGGACAGGTTTAAGCCTTGCTTCACACCTGTGCGTCGGGGGGACGCAAGTGAAAACGCGCATCTTCTTTGCAGTGACATTTATTCTTAAGGCACCAGCCAAATCATGTGCGTTGTAGCACGCCAAATGTGCTTCTGCGCACAAAAATGCATGCACTTCCTTAGCTGCGCGTTGGGCAGCCCATTGGCATAAGTAAGCTGCCCAAAAGAGCTGCACATTACCATGTGAAAAAGCCTGCATACCCAAACGCATGCAGTCGCACCCGCACAGGAGTGAACCAGAGCTTAATCTGATTGGCTGGATTGATGCATATAGTTGGTTCTCAGCTTATCCTTATTCAACTCCAGGCATGTACAAAATGAACTCTTGCAGTGTCCCCGCCCCCTCCAGTAAAAAAGGCCGGTCACTGCAGCGCTCTCTCTCCTTGTGCAGGGTGACTGGTCTTGTCTCCGCCCCCTCCTGTAATAAAGACCGTTCACTGCTGCTCTCTCTCCTTGTGCAGGGTGACTGGTCTTGTCTCCGCCCCTTCCTGTAATAAAGACCGGACACTGCTGCTCTCTCCTTGTGCAGGGTGGCTGGTCTTGTCTCCGCCCCTTCCTGTAATAAAGACCCATCACTGCTGCTCTCTCTCCTTGTGCAGGTTGACTGGTCTTACCTCCTCCCCTTCCTGTAGTGGGCGGGGCCTGCTGGTTTCCTCCCACAGCTCTTCTCTCTGCACAGACTACGTACAGCACAGTGATGATGTCATTGCTACGATTACAAGGTAATGACTAGGTTCACACAAAGAGGATTTATATCCTTTGTGGCTACTGAGGAATATATTTCAATGAAAGTTGTCACGTCCGGAGTTCACCTTTAAGAACTTTTTTTATTCTCTCGAAGAACAAAACCAAAAAAAAGCCAAACCCTCCGCGTGCCAAGCAGAGCTGTGTGTGCGGTGTTACGCTGGCATTCATCAGGAAACCATTGTGCCGACAATCACCGCGGGTCTCCATCCAAACCGCAATTAATAAGGGTAATTGCAATCTGCCTGCGAGCCCCTTTGGTGTTAATGTAACGCGCTAATGCAGCCGGCTGAACGCGGGAGAAAATGGGATCCCTAGGAATGGCCTGACAAGGGGAAACGGCATTAATTCAGCGGATCACCTTTCAAGGTCAGGGAGAGAAAACGAGAGAGTCAGCGAAAAGAAAGAGAGGAAGCTGAATACAAGCTGGAACATTCCTTAGGAAATTCCAGAGGGGGAGAGAACAGTGGGACACAAAACGGGGCGCAATATTAGCCGGATATAAAAGACACAATTTTATGCAGCTCTGTAATCATTAATCATTAATCACATGAATTTTGCAAGTACCAGAGTGTGACCCGGTATCAGTCTCTACATGGCAGAGCTCAGAGAAGAAGCAGCACAGGGAGCCAGGCAGGTGTCTTGTCTCCTTGCACAAGGAGCGTGCTGATGGGAGGAGAGAGCAGAGGGACAGATAAATGAGCTCATCGGTGTGCTGCTTCTCCTTTCCAGCAAAACAAATATGGTAGCCGCACAAATCAATTTGTAACTAGCTTTCCACAGAGACACAGTGCAGAACCATGGGTGGTAATTCAGTAATAGGGACTAGGGATGTGGGTGGGCTAGGTGCGAACAGAACCCCCCAAAACTGCTAGTAGCACATCCCCCCTCCCAGCGTAATCAGCTGCAGCCAGGAAATTCCCCACTGCACGTAAGAAAGGGGCAGGAGCCCACTAGGGATGTGTGTGGGCTCAGTGCGAACAGAGCCCCTGCAAAACAGTTATTGGCACATCCCCTTTCCTGGTCCAACTAGCTGCGGCCGGGGCATTCTCCACTTCATGAAACAAAGGGGCGGGGCGGGAAATGTCCTGGCCACAGCCCACTAGGAATGTGCATGAGCTTGGTGCAAACACTGCCCCCGCAAAACTGTTAGTGGCACATCCCCCCTCCTGGCACAATCAGCTGTGGCCCGGGGTATTCCCTGCTGCAAGAAACAAAGGGGCGGAAAACGCCCTTGCCACAGCCCACTAGGGATAAATGTGGGCTTGGTGCAAACGGAGCCCCCCACAAAACTTTTATTGGCACACCCCTCCTGGCCAGCCTCCAGCTGCGGCTGGGGCATTACTCGCTGCGCGCAATAAAGGGGCGGGGGATGCCCTGGCCACAGCTAGTTGGGCAAGCGAGGGGATGTGTCACTGATAGATTTGCATGCATGGCAAATGGGGGCAAGATGAGCTAAGGGGAGATCACAAGCAACTAGTCCATCTTTTTTTGGGGGGAGGGGGGGGGCGGCTCAGCTTTAAAATGCCTCTTTTCCAGGCAGCCGTTAATGACCCCCAAAGCACCAACAAGAGAGCCAGGCCATTAGCTGATTGATAAGGAGATGCAGCAATGGCAGCCTGTATGCATCTCTCATAATGGCGTCCCTTTGAAAGGAAGCGCCTGATTGGTTGCTGTAAGCACCACAGACGGCTCTTCCTTCACCCGCTATGAGAAATAGTCTCTTAGAGCACTAAATAAGAATTCTTCCTTTAATACATCGATATGGCCGGGGACGGCGGAGGAGGAGAGCGCCCCGGCACAAATTACGGTTCAGTTTTATCATCCAGAAACCCTCTTAGCAGCCGGCGGTTTTCTCAGAGCCTGGACCCCGCCGCAGTGCGCCGTGATGGATCTGCCCCTCGGGTATGGAAAGCAGGTCTAAAAATATATTCATGTTTGCCTTGTGTCACGTACAGGAGTGCGAGCGGGCGACCTATCTCAAATGGGAATC